TCATATTACACTATGTCCACCCACCTTGGCCACGATCCTTCTTGTAAATCATGACAGGTCCGCGCTTCCAGAACCACGATCCCCGCAAATAGCCTTGCGACGGGACACCCAGAACCACTTAGACAGCCTGGGGTGCCCAGACCCTTGGACCTCTGCAAAACAAGCGCGGGATTCGAGACATGCCTAATTTGCCATCCCGATTTAGAGCGCTAAGAACCCACATGTGTTCACGCTTGTACCGCTCCGGGGCGTTAGGGACATACGTGTTTTCACGCTTGTCCCGCTCTGGGGCGTTAGGACCCCCGCTTCGTCGTTGTCGTCCTCCTCCTCCTCTTCCTTCTCCTCCTCTCCACCTCCTCCTCCCCTTTATCGCCCTCGTCGTCGTCGTCCTCCTCCTCTTCCTCCTTCTCCCCCTCCTCCTCCACCTCCAAGTCGGCATACTGACCAAGAACTGTTTGCACATGAGCGTCGCGATTTGGGGCTGCGCCTCCTCCTGTTCCGCCCCAGCCCCACCGAGATTCCGAAGAGGCTCCTTTGAGGTTCCGAAAAGGCCGTGTACACAGGCCCTAGGAGACACCACGCATGACCCTTAGAGAATCCCATACGCAGCTCCGAAGAAGCCCTCACGAGGAGGCCCCCACGAGGCTCCTAAAAGCGCTCATACGAGGCGCCGCAAGGGTTTCAGAAGAAGCCCGAAGATGCCCCGAAGAAGCCACACACGAAGCTCCTGGCAGGCTCCTACGAAGCTTGCTACGAGGCCCCGACGAGGCTCTGTAGAGGCTCCGACGGCTCGGGATTCCATCGGTCTCCTCCATATTTCTCAAGGTTCTTCTGGGTTCCGCGGAATCTCAGAAGTTTCATCAGGAATCCAATGGATTCCCCAAGATTCCTCCGGATTCCTCGGGGGTCCCTGGGATCGGCTGGGAACGCTTGGGAGCGCTTGGGCGCGCTTGGGACCCCGAGACAGTAGCGCGAAAGGGCTGGCTTGTGGCCTTCACTAGGCCGTCCGCCAGCTCGTTACCTCGACGCTGCTCAAGAAGTGATGGCCCCATCGAGCATCTGAGCAACAGCACTGTGAGACTTGCTCTTCACAGCTCTTAGGCCCTCTAATCTGTCGCCGACCTCATTCCACCATTGGGCCCTGGAGTTCTTGGGCCCTCGGGCACTGACAGGGCCCACAACGCAACCAGCAGTGCCGGCACAGTCAACGAAGGCCGTGGAGGGGCCAGTTGCCAGAGCATGCCTCGACAGCATGAGGAGGGCGTGGTCCTCGCCGTCCCTCGCTATTTGCTCGGGAGCCTCACTCAGCGGGACGACCCCTGAAGTCGAATTAATACAAGCGCCATTCTCGTTGTTGATCAATACAGCCCAGGACGCAACGAGGAGATTCGCAAACGAGGTCTCGAATCCCGCCCCATCGGTGAAAATCGCAATGCCAGCTGGGATCACTCAGGGCTGGTCACGAGGCCAATTGTGGAATCTAACATTGCGATGTTCGGCCTCACGAGGGCGGCGCTGGAACCAGTGCGAAGGGTTGGGGAAAATACAGCGAGCAAACAACTCACACGCGTCCCCCTCAAGCATCTCTATCTACTGCGCCGCCCTGCGGAGCATGGGGTCGAGGCGCTCTCGTCGCCACACTTCACATGCAGGGTACTCGAAGCGACGGCGAAATACATCACCAGTAGACGAGGAGGAGGACGATGACAAGTAGAAGGAGGCGAGGGAGGGGCGGAGGACCAGGGGTCTCCCCTTGCCTCACAATCTCCTCAGACTCCACGTCGCCCCCGTCAGAGCCGTCACGGCCCTGGAGGAGGAGAGGACGGAGCACGAGGACGGGAACAGGTTGGGGAGATGACGGAGTAAAAGGATGGCGCACAGTTTCCCACGCGTTTCTTCCTCTCGGCTCCTCCTCCTCCTCCTCCTCCTCCTCCTCCTCCTCCTCCTCCTCCTCCTCCTCCTCCTCCTCCTCCTCCTCCTCCTCCTCCTCCTCCTCCTCCTCCTCCTCCTCCCGAGGGAGGGAAGGAGGACGGTGAACGCGCGAGCCTGGGCAGGGGCGGCTCTCGGTGGCTCGGGGACCCCCCGGCGCCCTCGCTCTGCGCGCCCGTGCCGGGCTCCCGCGAGAGGGGCCACGGAGGGGTGGCCCACGGGAGAAGGCGAGACGAACACTTCGGTCGCAAATCATGGGATCTTGGTATAACTATTGAGTCGGGCGCGTCCCCCTACAGGGGGATTTTCGATGAAAGATAAAAAATACCCAAAACATGATCCAAAATTGTAAAAAAAATATCCCCAAAATAGTCCCCACACTATTTTTTGACTGTTTTTGAATTTTCCTCCTGTAGAGGGACGGGCCCGACTTAAGTATACTATCTGAATTCCGTCCTCAGCGTCGAATAGCGTCGCCCCGAAGTCTGGGAGTCGATGATGTGTGCCGGTTCAGCGTCGGCTAGCGTCGACTAGCGTCGATTCGCAAAAGCGGACAAGTTGGCATGGGAGGTTCCCATGAGGTGCCACCGAAGAATACGCCAGGATTTGTCTTTCGGACTCTGCCCGAAGCGCTGCCGACGCCCGTACTGATCAACCAAGCCCTACCCCAGTGGATAGAGGAGGAGGAGGAAAAGGAGGAGCAGGAGGAGGAGGAGGAGGGGCAATGACCTGAGGGTCCGCAGACTGGGCGAGAAGTGCATTGGTGAATTCTGAAGCCTGTGCCCATCCTTTCACGAAGTCCCCGCTACCTTTATGTCGGGCGTGTCCCCCTACAGGGGGATCTTCGACGAAAAATTTAGAATGCCCCAAAAATACCCCAAAAAGGTCAAAAAAATATTCGAAAAATAGTCCCCAGACTATTTTTGGATTATTTTTTGATTATTTGGGGGTATTTTTATTTTTTCGCCGAAAATCCCGCTGTAGGGGACACGCCCGACTTAACGCTACCTTCCTTGCCCCCCCCCCACCCCTGCCCGAAATCAGAGAGGCCTCCCAGACGCAAACCTGCCTGCGGGCTTGGACCTGCTTCAACCAGCCAAGGCTGCTGGCAGGATAAGCCATGAGATGCCAATGGCTGAGGCGGGATGGGCGAGGAGTAGGGGGAGGGAGAGCGGGAGGTGAAGGGGAGGGAGGAAGGGAGGGGAGAGATGGAGAGAGGGGGAGCGGGAGGCATGGAGGGAGGCGGGGAAGGAGGAGGAGGCTCAGAAGGAGGAGGTCTTTTGAGATCTCCGAGGAGGCCCCGGATACCTCCAGAGGCTTTTGGACTAGAAGAAAGATGGAACAATTACGTAGCACCCCGCAGATGCGGATAAGAGTGAGGGGGCGGTGGGGACGTCGGCAGTCTGTGAGACTCTGGAGAAGACCGCCGCAGGCGCCGATTTTTTCGTTAATCCAATGTGGGTAGGTCGCGGGTGGGTCGCAAATGGGTCGCAAAATGGGCGCAATTGGTCGCAAATGGGTCGCGAGTGGGTCGCGGGGTGGGCCGCGGGTGGGTCGCAAGTGGGTCGCGGGTGGGTCGCGGGGTGGGTCGCGGGGTGGGTCGCGGGTGGGTCGCGGGTGGGTCGCGGCGTGGGTCGCGAGTGGTTCGCGGGTTGGGTCGCGGGTGTGTCGCGGGGTGGGTCGCGGGGTGGGTCGCGGGATAGGTCGCGGGGTGTGTCGCGGGGTGGGTCGCGGGTGGGACGACGACAGCAAAGAAACAACAACAGCAATGCAACAAGCAGAATCCTCACCACGGATCCCCTTTTCAGCTACGCACCCAGCGACAATGAACGACCGTTCGGCCCCCTCCCTCTGACAAAGTTTCCAGCTATCAGGGTCGTCGAGGGAGGGAGAGGAGGAGGAGGAGGAGGAGTAGGAGGAGGAGGAGGACGAGAAGGAGGAGGAGCAAGAGACGCAACCCTAATACATTCCGCCGAAGGAGGAGAAGGAGCAGAAAGAGGAGCAGGAGCACCAGAGCAAGCCCAAGATTCATCAACCATGCTGCAACACGAGGGGTCTTGAGGCACTATCTGGGGAGGGGGCTCCCACCATGCCTGCAAGACCCTCGGAGGGGCTCCCAAGGACGCTCCCAAGAGGCCCCCAGAAGCTCCAGAGAGGCCCCCCAAGAGGCGCCGAGATGCCCAGAAGTGGCTCAAGAGGAGCCAGCCCAAGCCCCCTTAGTACGAACAACGAGGGCACGGTGGGCTTGCCACTCAGGCGAGGCCCCGTTGCGTAGAGGAGGCACATCCATCCCTCCTGCTCTACGTCGGGCACGTCCCTCTAGAGGAGGAAAATTCAAAAATAGTCCAAAAATAGTCGGGGGACGATGTTTCCAGATGTCCTTTGCTATATTCGAATATTTCTGACTCGTTTTACTTGTTCGTCCAAAATCCGCCTGCAGAGCGACATGCCCAAGCTAATTCTAGCTAAAGTAGACGCAGAGAGGCAGAATGTGAAGTTCAAGCAAGTGTCCAGCGACCCGTAGCCCCGTTTTGAAAAGAATATGCATTCCGTCTGTGTTGCACGTTGTTGGCGCAGTGTCAATTTCAAGGCCGTCTGATGTGCGTACGCCTACGCGGGAGCCCCATTTTGAAAAGGAGCCGCGCTCCATCCGTGCAATTGTTGGAAACGTTTACAGTTCATGGTGCGCGGCGTTGAGGCGACAACCACATGTTAAAAGAAAACAACCCACTCTCGTTTGTTGTTACTGTTGGAAGATTGAAATGCGAATACGCGCACTGCTAAGGCGAGAACCGCATTTTGAAAGCCACAACTGGTGGAAACTTGGAAGCGAACCCGTCCTCAACCCTTGTCACTGCTGGAAATTTGTTGAACGAATGTGAGCGGCGACAAGGAGAGTGAAACACCTGGTCTGGCCTAGGGACACGTCAGGTGGCGCGACACAGGGGAGATCATATATAAGGAAGAGGAATAGAGGAGGAGGAGGAGGAGGAGGAGGAGGAGGAGGAGGAGGAGGAGGAGGACCCCGTGGCGCCCTCGACCGCGCTCCCTGTTTGGGCTCTGCGAGAGAGGCCATGGAGCGCCAGAACGACGCGCAGATAGACGAGCTGCACGACAGGATCTCGCAGCTGAAGGCGGGGCCATCTCCGCCCAGTACGATCGACATGGGTACGGTCGACGTGGGGTCGAAAATTCTAAGCCTCCTAGATGGGGTCGGAGTAGATAGGGTCGGAGGATCGCGTCGCATCGTCGATGCATGGCCGATGCGGCTCGATGTGGAGCCCGGTTTGATTCTCGTCGATGTCGTCGATGCATCGTCGGCGTCGACGATGCATCGCCAGTGCATCGTCGATGCATCGGCGATGCACCGCCGATGTATCGGCGATGCGGCGAGATCCTCCGACCCCATCTACTCCCTGGCATCGCTCGGACGTGTGCATTTTTCTCGGCGAGGACCATCCTGGACCATCGAGCCAAAAAAACGCGCACGAAACCGAAAAATGCACGGGAAATGGACGTCCGAGCGACGGCAAGATTCGGACCCCATCTAGGAGGCACCTGTCGACATGGGGTCGAAGATTGACAGCTGCCCCAGTCTATTTTGTACTGGGCTCGCCGTCGGTGCCGCCGCGGGCGTTGCCCATGTGAGACAGAAGGCCGCCCGCCCAACACCTGCCACTGTCAGTGCTGGACAGCACTGGCTGTTGGGCATCGTGTACATGTTTTCCGTAACCAGCTCGGGCGTCCAGATCGGCTCCGAGGTTCGAGGACCGAGACTCGAGGATGGAAATTCGAGGCGTGACGCGGATCGAGGCAGTTGGATCTGTCGTGCCACCGGAGGCTCCGGGGACGTCCGCACCGCCAGATGCCTTTGAGAGCGGCCCAGCCAGTCGGAGTCTTGGGTTGTCCGTTTTGCACTTCCTCCACGTCTCCTCCTCCTCCCTCCTCCTCCTCCTCCTCCTCCTCCTCCTCTTCTACCTTCTGTTGCTGCTTCTGCTGCTGCTGCTCCTTCACCTCCAGGCGCCCAAGAGCTTGAGGATAGTATACGACTTGGCCTAGATGCGATCATGAGAGTGCTGCAAGCAGCAATTGTTCTGCGATTCGCCAACAAGGACGGACGAGTGTTCAGTCAGCGAAGAAGAAAGATTTGATCCATACTTCGCACACAATCATACACCATGGCTCCCTCAGTCCTTCCTCTTTGCCTCCCTCGTTCCCCTCATGTCTCTTTCATCCTTCCTCAATATGTTCTTCCTCCCTGCTCCCTCTCCTCCTCCCTTCTCCCTCTTCCCTGTGCCCTCCGCCCTCACGCCCTCCCTCTCTTCTCCCTCTTCCCTTCTCTCTTCTTCCCCTTCCTCATCCCTCTCCCTTCCTGCTCTCCCTCCGTGTTCCATACTTCCTGCTCTCTTCCCCCTGCTGCATCTTTCCTCCTTCCCGACCCCTCCCCCCTCCCTCCCTCCATCTCTGCCCCCCCCTCTCCTCCGTCCATACCTCCCCTCTCCTCCCTCTGTCCTTCTCGCTTCCACGGCACGAGCTCCTTGGCACAGCAGTTACTGCAGGGTGGTGAAAAAGTCGGAGGGGGAGACCGAGAACGAGGAGAGGGCAGAGTGAAGAAGAGGGAGAGGTAGGCGCTGGGCGGAGGGAGTACTTAAGGGGAGGGAGGGGGGGAAGGGGAAGGGGCCCGGAGAAGATGAGACGGAGGCGCGCGGAGAGGGGCGCGCGAAACGCCCCCCCCTTCCCTTCCCCCCCACCCCCCACCCAGCCCGCCAGACGACCCCGCGAGCGCCTCCCCAGGAGATCACCAAGGGCATCGGCAAGGAGGTCTCGGAGTCCGTGTCCTTTCTGGACAGCATGGGCATCGACTTCGACAAGGCCGCCTCGGGGAGAAGCAGAAGGGGGCCCCGCGCACAGCCGCGACGCGGAGATGCCTCCGAGACGCCGAGATATGAGGGCCATGTCCGGCTCGGGAGAACTGGAGGGGGGCTTCAAGGGCGGGAGCCAGAGGACAGAGGAGGAGGAGGAGGAGGAGGTCCGAGGTACTTATTGGTCCCAGGTCCTCTTTCTCTCCTCGAGGCCGGGTTCCCGGGGCCGCCGTCTGAGTGTCCGCACGACCCTCGTGGGCTGCTGTGGCGCGCTCCGCGCTCCGGGCGCACGCGAGACGCTGCTCGGAGCGAGAAACGCAGAAACGCAGGAGGAGGAGGAGGAGATTGCGGAGATTGCGATGATGCGCACCAGGGTGCGCCTCGTGCCAACTCAGGAAAGAATTGGCACTCTCGATATATAACGCGCTGGCAGGCGGACAGCTGGCGCAGGAGCGGCGAGCAAGCTCCACGGCCAGCCCGTGGGTCGCCACTCCAAGGAAGAGGAGGCCGCCACGCCCGGAGCGGGCGCACGCTCCAAGGAGCGGAGCGAGTCAGCACAAGAAAGACAGCACAGCCTATGTAGCGCTGGCGGACCAAAGTCGTGCGACAACAAAAGACTGTAGAGGTCGACCAACGCCATCGGTGGTAGCCAACGCACTTCTCCAGCGTCAGCGGCAGTGGCTGGCAAAGTCGCGCCCGGTCCATGGATCCATTCGCGATAGCCGTCCAAATTCGGCAATGCGCAGAACGAGGGGGAGTCATCGTCTTCTTTAATTTGTGCTGCAAGCTCTGGGGCAAGGTAATCAACGAAGCTGCCAGCTGGCCTGACGTCGCTGCTGTTAAACGTTCTGCCAAGACGTCATATGCCCATTGCAGCATCGTGTTACATGCAGTCGCAGCGGCCCCGTTTTCGTGCACCGTTGCGTGGCGAAGGTCGCGAGGCGGTTGAGCATGCCCTTCTTTTAACCACCACATCAGCCGACCCAAAAACGAGTTTCCAATGCCGAGAAGCTCGTGGAAAGCGACGCGGCACACGTTGACCCCGAGGAATTGGAACTTGACAGATTGGCGGCTTCCTGACGTCGTCCCGTCGGCCATCTGCGTACGGACCAGCAGCTGGAACACAAATTCATTGAGTTCGTCATTGGATAGCTTAGCTTGCATGTGCCTCCATTGGCGCATCTCCGCTGCCCGCTGGTCCTCAGCCCGGCCCCTGCACGCTTCAGAACAGCAGCCGTCCCCATGGAGCGACTCGAGGTCGTCTTCTGGGGGCGACTCAGCACCCGCACCATCGTCGCCCTCCAACTTCCAATCCCACCTTGCATCTACTACGCAGGGCTGGCCGGCGGCGGGTCTATCGTCATCATTGGGCTCTTGGCGCACGATGGCGCTACATGGCAACGACTCGTCTTCGCTTTGGGGAGGCTTTCGCTGCGGGGGAGGCTTTCTGCTCGGTCCATTAATTAGCGCTCGAGCCAAAGTACTAGTCGCAGGACAACATCGTTACACTCATAAGAATCACCGCGCCGACAAGCGAGCATGATAATGCCCGCTTGTTTTATTATTGATGTTGTTGTTCATATTATGTGTCACACATGAAACGCTTGTCAGTCTAACATATACTTGCCATTGCAACGCGCACATACTGAAACACGAAACACGCACCTACATCTAAACAACACGCCCGATGTACGAACCGAAAGCATTGGGAAAAAAAACGATTGTCGTGAAAATTCCTTGACAGCCGACGCCCCCGACACGCCAAGCCCGGGGGGGCCCCGCCCCCGATCGCGCGGCCCCCGTGCGACGCCGCGCCCTCGACGGCGAAGCCCGACGCCCCCGACGCGCCAGGCCTTGGGAAAAAACGTGATCACACGTGTCTTTTATCAAGTTTGTTTTTGTTATCGCACTTGCCCAGAGATCCGACGTTCCCAGAAAACATTGGAGCGGGCGGTTTTCGGCGGTGTTCGGCCTCCGTGGGGCCTCGCCGGGCCTCCCGACCGAGGAGGGGTGTGGAGGCCTCCCGAGAGTGCAGGGGGAGGGGCCTCCAGAGCGCGGGGGCCTTCTCGGAAGGGCTGGGGGCACCCAGAGATCCGACGCTCCGCGCAACAGCTGGAACGGGCGGTGTTCGACACTTTTCGGCCTCCAGGGGGGCCCTCGCCGAGCCTCGGGAGCGTCAAAGAGCCACTTGGGAGGAGGGGCCGGCCCCAGGGAGGTGCTCTGGGACCTCCAGGGCCAACGCCTCGAAAGGATTATGGAGGAGGAGGAGGAGGAGGAGGAGGAGGAGGAGCAGGAGGAGGAGGAGGAGGAGCATGGGGAGGAAGAGGAGGAGGAGGAGGAGGAGGAGGAGGAGGAGGAGGAGGTAGGAGGAGGAGGGGGAGGGGCTGGAGGAGGAGGAGGAGGAGGAGGAGGAGGAGGAGGAGGGGCGGAAGCTGCCGGCCCAGGCCAGCAAGCAGCTCAGATCGACGGTCTCGCACTTGAAGGCCCGCGCGCCCCCTCCTCGCCCTCGCCCTCGGAGGGGGGGATCGGACGTGGAGGGTTTCTCGAAGGGCTTAGGCGACCCGTCCTCCTCCGCTCCTCCTCCTCCTCCTCCTCCTCCTCTTTTCCTCCTCCTTCCTCCTCCTCCTCCTTCCTCCTCCTCCTCCCCTCCTCCTCTATTCCTCCTCCTCCGCCTCCTCCTCCTCCTCCTCCTCTCTCCTCTCTCCTTTCCTCCACCTCCTCTCTGCTCTCTCCTCTCTCATCTCTCCTGTCTCTCTCTCTTCTCTCTCTCTCTCCTCTCTCCTCTCTCTCATCTCTCCTCGCTTCTCTATGTTCTCTCCTCTCGTCTCGCTCCTCTCTCCTCTCTCCTTACTCTGTCCTCTCTCCTCTGTCTTTTCTCCTCTCTCGTCTCTCCTCTCTCCTCTCTCGTCTCTCCTCTCTCCTCTCTCCTCCACCGCTCCTCCTCCTCCTCCTCCTCCTCCTCCTCCTCCTCCTCCTCCTCCTCCTCCTCCTCCTCCTCCTCCTGCTCCTGACGGAAAGCGAGCAGCACAGCAGCCCTGCGATTTTGCCAAGTGCGACCGTCCCGGGGCGTCGTTTGCTGGCGGTCCCGGGGCCCGCGGAGGGCCCGTGGAGGGCCCGACGGCAGCGGCGGGGAGGCCTCGGGGCCCGCCTCCCTCGGGGCCCGTCTCCCCCGCCGGTGGTCGGCGGCGCGCGCTCTTCGCGGCTGGGCT